AGGGTCTTGCTCTGTTTCCCAGGCTAGAGTGCAGTGATGTCATCATAGCTCTCTGCAATCTCAGACTCCTGGGCTCAAGTGATCTTCCTGCCCTAGCTTCCCAAGTAGGGAAGATGCCTACCACCACGATCAGTTAATTTTTTCTATTTTTTGTAGAGATAGGGTCTTGCTGTGTTGTTCAGACTGGTCTTGAACTCCTGACCTCAAGTGATCCTCCCACCTTGGTCTCCCAAAGTGCTAGGATTACAGGCATGAGCCATCACGCCCAGCCTAAGAAATGGTTCTTTGAGTTGGATGTATAGCTTTAAGGAATATCCTCTTCTTTTTTATATTAATAGAACATATTATTTATGAATTATTGTCTGTCTTCAAAATTAGATGAGACAAAGTTCTTATCTGGGTGAATATAACTTTATCTAACATAGAATAATTTATTTTGAATGTTCTGTTTCTCTTAAAAATAATTTCTTATTAATGATAAGATGAGCACATTATTTCATGTTTGCATTACTGACTTTAGATTTGGCCGACTCTTTTTGCATTGCGTGCTTTATTTTCCAGTTCATATTAGACTGATTTAATTGACATTTTGGTATTGGTATTCTGAGATACTTGTTTTTTTCTAGAGAGGCCTTGTTGGCTGAGATGGGAGTTGCCATTCGGGAAGATGGAGGAACCCTAGGGGTTTTCTCACCTAAAAAGGTAAGGAAGCAACGTTGAGAATTTCAACCAAAGAGAGACATTTTCTGTTTCTCCTAGTTACTGGGACATATCATGTCTTTCAGGGAAGGCCCTTTCCCCTCCCTCCTTTAACAAATCTTGATGCTTGGCTTATTTCGGATATTTCTGATTCCATCTTACAGTATGATCTTATAGTACAAAGGCAGCATATTTCTAAAATGCTTATCATGTTTACTATTTACAAAAGAAAAAACCTAAGGCAGTAAATCTGTAACTTTTGGCCATGATTCAATTTGTTTAGTCATCTTCATTGTTCTTTTCTTTTAAATTCCCAACCTAACCCAGCATTCCTTACTTCAGTTTTGGCTACTCTTTCTATGTAGGTTTTCTCACAGAAGTCATTTACCTTGCTTTGTAACTTTTTGGAACCAATTTCAGCTGTTCAGGTTTGTGTAGAATAATGCTGTTTCCGTTTGCTTCTATAATTTGTATTATAGATAATCAATGTACTGAGCAAAGCAATTCCTTTCCTTATCCTTCTAGACTCCTTTGCTCCCTTCTCAGTTTGTTTTTTAAAAAATGACTCCAATAGTCATTTACCTTCCTCCTTACATAATCATAGTTGTAAGTAGTTAGGTACCTTTTAGCCAATTAGAATAGTAAGGGTCTTTTGTTTTGTTTTTTAGTAGGTTGCAACTTGGTTATTGTTGGATACTGGAAAACTATTAGCAAATGATTATTTTGTGTGCTTATTTATATGACAATGATAGAACATATACTGATGTACAAAGCTTGTATTTTATACCACTAAAAAATGGTCCTTCATTTTAAATGGCCTCAAATTGGCCATTGGAGACTTAAACATCTTCATGCCTTAAATTCTGATGATTTCTCTAGGTTAGGATACAAGGGATGGGGAGTTTTGAATTGGTACTTTTGTTTTATGTAATAGGAAATATTCCTGTGGTTTTGCTAGGATTCTTTTGATTAGGTTTTTCTATCATGATCACATAACATTTTAAAAAATTCCAATGTGATATTTTCAATAGAAAAGATTGATTTAAAGACATTTTAGATATATATTATAAAACTAGAACACTGAGTGTTTTATATATTTATATTATGAAAGGTCAGTGATTTTTAGCTTCATCATTTTTCCTTCAGTAAGACATGTATTTAATCAGGTATATTTGGTTGTAGAGATTTTAGCAATTATAGTTTTGATAGAATTTAAATTGTGCCTGTGCATGTATCTAAAAGTATTTTATAGCATCTTTTAGTGTTAAAAACTGGAGAAATATTTTTTTTTTTT